ATAAAAACTGGCGAGACAGCCACTTAAAAAGTTTGCTCTTCCTTTAAATGTCTTTTTTTTTTTTTTGCCAGGAGTCAGCTGTAACAGCAGGGTGCTGTTTTCATTTCATAATGGGAACAAAAATGGAAAGCCTGGCTGCTGCTGCTGCTGCTGCTGCTGCTGCTGCTGCTGAGCTAAAATTGGAAGCAATCCTCGACACGCCCTCGGCCCTCAATCTGAGTCTCTTGTCAGTGATAAGATACGATCGCAGCGATGCAGCGGGAAAATCACTCAATCTGCACACACACACACACACACACACACATAAAATATACACATGCAAATTCAAGGGTAGGCCAAAACAAAAACTTGTATTTATAGCCCGGCGAGGACACTCAAGGACGTCATCTTTCAACTAATCTTTGACACTGAAGCTAATTATAACAATTTAACACAAAAAACCTGATGCAACAGTGAGGACTCGTCTGTGTTCACTCCACATGAACATGAACACACCATGGATTCATGCAGAGTGAAGAGCACATTATTGGATTATATCAATAGGAGGGGGTGGGTACGTGGGGGGGGGGAGGAATGAGATGGTTGATGGTTGACTTGAAAAATTAAACATAATTCCCAAAAGAATTTTGGAACAAAAACTAACCCCCCTGGTGGAGAGGTAAGAGAACACACTTCCTGATTGAAGACTTTACAGACACAACGATCTGTCGCTGGAATCTGATAACGGAGTCTGCACAAACTCAAAGGCTAACACTATTAAATCTAGATCTATGTGAAACAAAAGCAAAAGAAATCGAGGTAAGAGAACACACTTCCTGATTGATATGTGAAACAAAAGCAAAAGAAATGATTGGTTGTCCATAAATCCACTTCCTGTGGCTCCATGAATCAAAGTCCAGCTGTGATTGGACAGAAAAAAACTGCTTTAATGTAACAGAAACTTCCAGACTCTTAGAACAACGCTGTGTGGGGTTCCGACACAAAGAAGCAGTTGACCTGTGACCTAGCCCCCCTCCACGCCCCTCATGAACCTTCCTGCGGGTCCACCGGAAGGCGCCCTAACCGGGATTGGATCTTGCCCAGGAGGTGAACCCTGGGGTTCCAACACCAACGACAGAGACGTTGAGACAAAACTCCAAAGAAAACACTGCTTTAAATGAGATTAGAATCAAATGGAGTTAAATAAGAGAGAATTCTACTGATTCATTTATTTAATGTGTTAACTTGACACTTATAGACATCCATGTCAAAAACTGAAATGATAATAATGAAGTCCTCTGTACGTCTAATGGACATTTGCTTTCATCTGAATCTCCTTCCACAGGGTGATTTTTTTTTCTACCATCGTCTCCTTTTCTTTTCCGTTTCCTCTCCTCTCTCACCTTCTGATTCGCTCCCTGGCGCCGTCGCTCCACCGCTTCCTGCTCCTCCTCATGAATATGTGCTTTTAATTTCACAATCGTTCATTCACCATTTGCGAGGGATAAGAGCATTCATCTTTGAACCTCCTTTGATCTCATTTCCAGCGGAGAATAGAGCAGGTCGGCTTCTGGTCTTTTCTCACTCACTTGAGTCTGATTAATTTGAATCTCATTTCAGGGTTTTTTTTTTTTTAACTGTCCATTGTACACAGTCACACAGACTTAAAAAGAAACGACGCTGGCTCACACCCGTGTGTCCGTGTCCGTGTGTCGTCTGAAGCATATACCGCCGTTACATTTGCCCTTTAATACCCTCTCTTGTACGCACTCTTGCTTCATCTGGGCTTGGTACAATGTGTGCAGTTCCCCGGTGGCAGACCAGGGATCTGCCTCGTCCCCCGCCTGCTGATTTCCTTTGAGATTTCCTTGGAGAAGAAGGAAGTTAGCTGTGTGTGACCACGGTGTGTTCCCGCAGCCTCACAGTACAAATCCATGCACAGCATCAAGCTGGGCTTTTTATTTTCTGTGTCAATTGATGTTTCGGCTGAAACTTAGCTTCTTGTCACAGACTTGTTCTCTTTGTCTTTTTCGACCACACTGCCCTTGTCCTGAGATTCTCCAATCAGCTGCCTGGGCTTCACGGGAATCAACGTGTCACATGCTGCACCAAAATGTAGCAATATAATTTATATCATATAAGTGATATTTGTACGTGTAGCTTACAAAACATCATCCTAATAATTTGAATTTCACTTAAGCTAAACCATTGGTTCCCAAAGTGAGGGGCGGGCCCCTCTGCAAGGTGTAGACAAATAAAATGTACAAGAATAAACCCTTAACTTTGAAAGATAATCTTTGCGCATTTGATGTCTGGTGCCATCTAGTGGCATTAACAGACATTACAGTCGATTCATTATAATGAATGAAACACAAGGATCGACATCAGGATCGATGGACGTCACGTCGTACCAGTAATTTGATGTCTGGTGCCATCAGCCAAACGGGCCGGAACAAACTCTTGCGACCCACCTGAAGGTCGCGACCCAGTCTTTGGGAAACAATGTCATAGACCATCAGGTGGTTGCTTTGGGAAACAATGTCATAGACCATCAGTTGGTGGTTGCTGGTTTAAAATCCTAAAACTTTGACTCATTTGAAGTTCGTGCCTCTTCAAACATCAGCATTCTACTTCATCTCATTTCAGTATTGCACAAATTAAAATCAGCCTATCACGATGGAGTATTTCAAATCGTCACATCTTCACATTACAACCCTCATTATCCTATCATGTTTAAGAACACACTCTCTCTCTCTCTCTCTCCCTCCACTGCTCCGGCTACATCCCTCTTCTGATCCGACCATTCTACAGTCGTGGCACCAGAGGTTGAGCACACAGATACCAAAGATAGTCTGGTAATAGCAGCACAATCACACGCATCGTAACCACTTAAGTGGAGCAGGTGAAAGTGGACATTGGCTCCTGTGAGAGGATGGAAGTGATGCGTGAGTCCTGATGTCATTTCCTGTCTACACTCAACGGACGTCGGCTCCACTGTCCCATTACAGAACGTCGGCCGTTTATCGCGTAAACTGATTTGAAAAACCGACTGACGCTGCTCCACTGGGTTACATGACACTCATTTGTTGGTGGAGATATGAGGTCTGATGAGGGGGGGGGCGCTGGTACGAGTCTGACGGGAGATTAAAAAATAAATAAATAAATAAACCTAAATGTTATATGATCGCGGTGACGTGGCCCCCTGCAGCTCGCCGGTGGAATGAGGAGATAATTTACTCAGATCAGTTCAAGATAACCAATTTAGTCATCGTTTCCGACGCTGTGATTTGTCACCCGTCGACGTGAGCTCCGTCAGCCAAACCCATGCGTGCAGGCACACAGGTGTCTATGGGAGTTGCTCCGTCATGTCTAACGGTGTCGCTCTCGAGGTGTGAAGTGGAACAGAGTAAAGGTAATGAAGGAGATGGGACTGTGTAATTATTCTGCCGGGGGAGGATTACTGCTTTACTTAACCATTAGAGGTTCACCTTGAAGTGCAAACGGCAGCGGGATGAAAACCCACACCTCTTTGCCCCTCATTAGCCTAAAATGAACTAAAGACGAGTGCGTCTGAGCCCCGGTTACTTAATGTAGGCTTTGCATATCTTCATGTCGCTCCTTTTGTGTCCTGCCTCGATACTTTGGC